TTTCTTGCGTCGTTTATATACATGAATAAAAATTGATCAGACATTTGAGTAAAATCAATATAAGACTTGCGTGAAACAGAATGGAAGATAAAGTACATTCGAAACGAATATTAATGTTATCAATAGAATACAATAGGATGGGAAATGAGCGAGTGTTGTTAATCAATAAGATGGGAAATAATACATTTTCATAGTAAAATAAATAACTTGTTAGAGTGTTATTATGTGAATTGAAATACATTTTAACATTATTTATTATACTCTGATTTGACTAGTAATAAAATGTTCCATATCTCTGGTATTTGCGTTGAGTCACTTCTACTGTATGTGTTGGGTGTAGACTCGATGAACAAGGATTCAGTAATCAATCTCTCTCTCCACCCACGTATATTACTTCTTAGAATTTTGACTCTGTCCCACCCACCCTATTGTGTGCACTGTGTGCAGTGCAATTGCTGAGTTTTTTTTCTAAATTACTTATCTTCGTGGGGTCACTCATTCTAACCTTAACTAAATTCTTATGTTCTGATAATCTCACTACTCCCGATCTACTATTTCTACCGAATGTACTTTATCTTCCATTCTGTTTCACGCAAGTCTTATATTGATTTTACTCAAATGTCTGATCAATTTTTACTCATGTATTTAAACGAAGCAAGAAAGTTTTGTGAGTCTCTGTCTGTATTCGACATAGAACTTTGCACATATGTGCGGCAGTTCAAGTCGCCACACTCCCTCTTTGTAGCACACAAAGCAAGAGAAGAGAGTAGAAGAAATGCATATTAGAGACAGTAAACGGAGGTGTGAGACAAAGGAATAGTAATAACGAAGAACAATATAGTTTCATTGGAAATCATGTCACAAGGAGTGGATGCGTCTGCGCCAGCCACTGAGAACGATTTTGAGCCATGTCACCAATTGTTTCCAACCATTGGGTTTTACCGTCCCGAGGACCCCAACCAGGAAGTCTACATCTTCCTACGTGGCTTAAACTAACTGTTGTGGATTTCATTGACTAGTGCCATGTTTTCGTTTGACCGCCGCTAGCTCTTTTCCAGCCTGACCCTATATCAGCTAACATTTCCCGTCGAGGAAGGCGATGGCTAGGTAAACGTAACACATGTCCTAACCATCTCAGTCGATGTAATAGTTTTGTGAGTGCCTTGATATGACTATGAGCAGTAATACATTGTGCTCGAAACGTCGTCATCTGTAAATATTATTGTATAACAACACTGTGTGATTTTATCAAAATAAAATTTTATCCATAATGGAATTACACTGTACCACAGTGCCCAAGTTTTATTCTTATATCAATAATACATATGGAAGTCCGGTGCTCATCTTTACTTTCCGGAAGACTAATAACTAACCATGAATTTAACTACAATAGTGGACGCAACCAACTTGATTACATCAGTCATTTTAGAACGGCGTTCATGTTGATAACTGAGGTTATCACAATCGGACATCTTTAAACAGATTTATATCCAAAGTAAGTCGTAGAAGGTTTCTCTTAACACATTGGTTCTTCACATTTAATTGATTATATCATAGTCTATTAGACTGTATGCATTCATGAAGTCAGCATTAAACTCAACGAGTTTAACTCAGTATATATTGTACATATTTTACTTAGTGATACCTTCTAATGACCTAGATTAGTAAAGCTTTTTTTAGTCCCCTTGTTATTTTCTACACGAAACTTCAATTACATTGTACTTATAACGGCAACACACCTTGTCCTAATTTACTAAATTTTCAATACATTTTATGAATAGACTGTGAGTATTGCTTAAATACTTTTCAGAATTTTGCTGTTTCTTATATTTCCAGCAAACTGAATATATGTTAAATTTTGAAGTATAACCCATTTTACTTTAGTCACCTAGGGGTCATGCATAGTGTTGATATCAAGATATTCATGAAAAAAAGGGTGTGCCTTTCAAGTAACTCAAATTTCCTTTGGGATAAAAGTACCTTAATTAATATTAGGAAAAACTGAAAGATATTCAGAGGTAAACACCGGTTTGCATAAAAACAGTCAGAGTAAGAAGAGGTTCAGTAGAACAGACAAACAATTAGAAAGTAACTAAGAATGCCAGAGAATACTGTTCAGATTACCTCAGAAAATACACACTAACACTAGTTTCTTATTATGCATACATTTCTTTGCGTTCTGAGTGGAACAAAGGGCTTCACACTCGAGGTTTCGAGTTTCAGTGGCAATGTAACGACAGAAGACGACAAGGGCCAGGCAACAGATCGTTTATTGAGAAAATCAAGAGATATTTATGTACATTACTATTAGCGTTATTGGTAGAAAAGAAGCAACGTCTTCCAATTGGTTGTTTTCTTGCTGAAGGTTATTCTGTACTGCTTGTGACCGTTTCTTAGAAAGTTAATCCATATATCTGCGAATCGTATTTGCACACGTTAAGTCTGTTGTGATTGGTTGGTGAGTTCCTCAAGGTTAAGCTTTGTTATTGTTTTTTCTCATGACCCTGATTCGGGATGTGAACATTGACGTGAACATTGTTATCTACAATTTTGGCTAGCAGACAGCTCTCACCACAGAAGTATCGTTTTACGGGGTAGATAACCTCATGCCCACCTTTACCTCTTTAAGGGGCTTGCTATTGGTTAAGCAGGGTACAGAAGTGTATCAGCTGGAAATCGAACTCGGACCACGTGCTGCTTGATTGGTGAGTATTCACCCACTGAACTGCCGATACACAAAGCTTGGGCTTTAAAAATTAAGTTATTTTTAATAGCTTTCAGGATGATATTATGATGAAACGATATTCAAACTCATAAAAGGATGATTTATTTTATTCAACAACTCAAATGAAAAAAAATAAGACAGCAAGGCATGTATCGCGTATCCATGGTTCAACGGTAGAATGCTCACCAACCACCATGCAGGAAGTCTGGGTTCGAATCCCAGCTGATACAATACTCTTTAACCTCACCAATCCGGTAGTAAGCCGAGAAAACAAGGAAGATTGGAAGTGAGGCTAGCAACCCCATCCCCCAAAAATAGCAACACAATGGCCTCTGAAACTTCAAAGCTTGAAACTCTATGCCCCACTAGGAATGCAAGGAATGACGGAATAAAAAAGAATAAAAGGCGCATATCATAAGGAGCACGTCCTTGAACAATTCCAGTGTGACAGTGTGGTTGTTTATACTTTTTCTTCATAAAATAAACAATTATGAAGGACGTTAGATTAGATAATACAATTTACAAAGACGTTTTAAAATCCATCAAGCAATCAGTTAGTTTGATAACCTGTTACACTTCAAAGACTATCAGTTCACACTATTCCCACCTTATACTGTTCAAAACAAACATCAACAGTGTCCCTATGTTTTTTAACCTCAATCAAATATCCAAAAACTGATAGAAACCACAGATTTCAAACATTGCAGGTTAATTTATGACACTGGAAATACGGAATAAATGACGCAGTCCTGAAATACTACCAACCTGACTGCACACAAAAGTGAAGCATCTACAATTGTCACATTCCATATAGCACACAAAAGTAGGAAGCAGAAGTGCATAGCAGAAATAACAGTCACACAGAAAAATATGAGTAATTAGTGGATATGGCAGATGTCAAATAGTGAGTGAATGAATCTGCGTCATTGAGAAGGATTTTAAGACATATTATCACTGGTTCTTAGCATCTCAAGGACCCCAACAAAGCAGTCTACACCCCCACCTACTTGGTTCAAACCAATAGTCGGAGACTTCATGCATTGATGGCAAGTTTTAGTTTAACTGACTGACTGAGTTTCAACATAGAACTTTGCAAAGAAGTGCAACAGTTCAACTTGCCAAACTCCGACAAAATAGAGGGAGAGAAAGGAGGTTCAAAAGAACTACAGGAGAAGAAAGAATAATTTTTCGGCTTGGCCACTTAAATAGCTCATTTCCAACCCAATACTATTACAGCTAACAGTATTCATAGAGGAAAGCGGTGGGCCGGTATGTGCAACAACCTCATCGACTGACTTTCCTCCCCTAAATAACACTATGCCTAACTTCACAATATTGCTCACCACTTAACACGGGAGATAGAACGCAAACATCCATGGTTAAAGACATCAAGCCCTGCAATACTGATGGAAAAAAATGGATTTCCGTTATTTTAAAAAAAGGTAATAGAGACATATGAAATCTAGCTTAGGAATGAATACATATAAGACACCAAATGAAGAGATTATTAACATGAAATTCATTTTGCATAAAAAAAATTAAACTTTACGACTTGAAAATTAAGTGACACAACTAAAACAAACACAACTGACACCGTTTACAAACCACCCTAGATACTGGGAGTGACTTGTAAGCAATAAAGCACCTTTGATGATATTAGACAGTTGGAGGTAATCGGCGACAGGAAGCCTTGCTTGACCTAGGTTTCGTGCTAGTTAGCACTCACCAGTCAGCAAGGCGTATCTGCAACCTTGAAGGAACTCATGTCCCTCCATCTGAGATTCGAACCCACGTCACCCAGCAGTGCAGTCAGAAACGTTACCACTGAACTATTCGGGCTCGCGATTGACCTCTTGTAGGACTGTAGAGGGTATTTTGATTGGACACTAGTAACTAGAATGATGGCCACATTGCAAACCTGACCGATAGAATTCAGTCTGCACCAAAGAAAGGACTAGACACGTCACACTAGTTATTACTAGTGACCAATCAAAATAAAGCACCTTTTTAAAACTTAAACTACTCAATACCTTTATGAAGAATATCAAACAGGGTTGCATGACATATTCATTAAAATGAAGAGAACAATAAGAACAAAACAATCATAGAGAATTCGAAGTAATTTCTAAAGTTTTGTATAAAATGATTTTCTACTTGTGATAAAGATGACAATGCTACAATGTTATACACTGATCGATAAACATACAAAAAAAGAAAAAAAAATAGTTGAATGAAATTATTTATCAATATACTATAAAAAAATTATGAAACTCACTTCATTATCCAACGGTGGAGGAAGTGAGCCTCGACCACCAGCAATACTAAATCCAAGACCATTTGAATCTCGAGTCAATGTACAATGAATGTGCTATATAAAATCAATAGATAAATAAATGTTAGCATAATCTACTTCTGTGGGTAAAAAACTGGATAGTGTGATTCACCACTGGAGTGAGTGAGAGAGAGAGAGAGAGAATATGCTTAGTTGGGACAACAGCAACAATAGGGTTGATAAATAGAATATACCGAAGAATCTCTGTATAAAACAATCAAATCGGAATTCGCATTTAGAATTATGTGCTGATAGTGTGGTGAGAGCTGTCTACTAGCCAAATTGGTAGACAGTTATTTACGTCAATGTTTACGTTCTCAAGATTGGTCGTGAGAAAATATGAACAAGACTGATTCAAAACCCACCACAGCAGACTTTGCGTAGGCGGATACAGTTAACATATAGATGATCTGACATCCAAGAAACAGTCACAAAGAGATGAAAGATTAACTTTACGTGAGGAACAACCAATCAGAAGACTGTATTTGTTTACTTAACTAATCTATAATAATGTACATGAAAATATATAAATATGTGTTGATTTCATTAAGAAACGATCTGTTGCTTGACTCTTGTCTTCTGTTGTTACAATAGCACTGATACCATCATCACATAATGGTTTAAAGAGTGGGGTAAATGCAGATATATCTATCATACGTGGAAACAGTATTGTTTAATGGATGATGAGGTTCCGAAAACAATTTATTCTTCATAATCATACCACCGATTGTAACTACACAACTTCGAAACTTTGTTTTTGTATTTTCTTTTATTCTATCCTATTCGTCGTAGGGATAGTAGGATTTTCTGGATGTTCGGGACAGGTGTTGAGTCGTTTCTATTGCACGTATTTTCAGTTGATTCGATAGTTAAAGCTTCGATTTTCAATCTCTCCACCCCCACCTTGTTATATTAGATTTTAAGAACGTCATATTATCCCACCCTATTGTGTGTAACTCCGTGCATTGCTATAACTGAGCTACTTGTTTCTAGATTTCTTATATTATTCGGGCCAACGGAAGTTTTATTTATCAAATCAACTGAAAATACGTGCAATAGGAATGATTTAACACCTGTCCCGGACATCTAGAAATTCCTACTACCCCACGACGACGAATAGGAAGGAATAAAAAACTATAAAGCGAAAGTTCCGAAGTTGTGTGCTTACAATTGATGATGTTATTATGAAGAATAATTTGTGTTCGAAACTTTGTCATCCAGTAAATAATACTGTTTCGCTGTGTGATATATCTAATAAACAAATTAATACGGAATTACATGCTACCACAGTGTCCAGGTTTTAAACATATATCAGTTCTTCAAAATTTTGTTTCCAGTAATTCGGAAGGTGCTTTATGAGATAGTTTGATACTGAACATTGGAAGGACAACAGGCAATAAAAGTCTGATGCAATACAAATACATTCGTGTCTTGAATTTACAATTTGAATATTTTGTATCATTCTTCTTTATCTTAATTTTTCTCTCTCCATACAACTGAACTTTTCCAAACTGAAAGAATAGATAATTAATTATATAAGGTCGTATTTTACGCATGTCTATCTATCTATCTATGCATAAATGACTACAACACATTTATGAAAACAAGCAATCGAATCCCTGCAGGTCAACACATGAAAATTAATCTGGTGCTCGCTAGTGTAACTGATTGCAGGACTAAGCTGCTTTGAGTTCTTATAGCGAGTTGTGAATCAGTGCGTTCCACACCAGGTCAGGTGTCAGGATAAATACTCGCCAGTGATATTGGCTGGCAGTAGCACTATGTATCACAAATCGATAGAATTCGGAGTCCATGGGCTATTTGACCCCATCGCTGGGGCTGAATGGTTGTCTCGTGACCTGAAGGTGGTCCTCAGTGAGTACTGCTAAAGAGTCCCAAACTAGGACGAAATAGCTGTTCAGTGGTTTATTTTTTAGCTGATGTAAATCTGTGATCAAACTTGAAAGCAATCAAATAGCTACAAACTAACACTTGAAGGCAAACATTATTTTGATCCCAATAGATATTCCTACAAACAACAGTAAGATGTTCGATAGTACTACACAGCTGGTTCCTTTCACTGTAGCATTACTTAACAGCATATTTAAAACCAATACTCTACCTAGTAAGACTATTAATAGAGAAGATTAACAGCTAGGGGATAGAGATGGGAACGGTTTAGCGCTTTTTAAGCTTTGATATTTGATCATGTAAGTTTTTATCAACAGGATTGATGATTCTAGTTGCATGATGAATAATATTCACGCATCGTTCCTCTTTTGATTCGGACTTTGATCAATTATAGTTGAGGAGGGAGAGAGAGAGTTTTTTCTGTCTAATTCTACTCTTACATTAATGATAACTTTTTGAAAGTTGAAAATTCCAATTCGGCATTCTTCAAGGAGTAATTTTTTTTTGACTATAGCAATAACAACAGATGGAGGAGTAGAATAAAAACGGACTATTATTCTTTTTCGTTGGTGTTTTATCATCAACTGGTTACACAAGCTGAATGATGAAAGTTTAGTAGGTTTTATTACAAGTGGACATGAAATGTTGAACAACAATAATGTAGAACGGTCATGGTATATGATTGATTTGAAAGGTTAAGTTAGCTTCTAAAATAAAACACGAAGTGAGGAGTAAGGATGGATACCAATGCAATAAAGATGCGTCAATTTTATCCTGCTGCATGCGTTGTTATCGCTTTATTCCAGTTCATTAAAGGGAAATTTAGAAATAAGATCAATTTCTAGGTCTTAGTGTAACAACAGAAGTCAACACACGCGAGCCAAGGTATATTTTTCATTATTATTGGAACCGCTGTTTATCTATCTACACTTTATATTCGTTAACCAATCACCGAGCGTGTGATTTCGGTTTACATCAAACAACATGAAATAGAATGTTCAAATATACTTAGTATTCTTTTGTTAATGCAGTATATAACCGTGGGAAATGTATTCTGTCTAACATCAAATCGAATGTTCAAATAGATACATTGTATTCACTCATGGAAAATTCCCATTGTAACATAGAGAAAATCAAAACAAGTGATTCAGCGAAGAGACTCTTTTCAATGAATTTATCATCTAGATCCCGCTGTTGACCAACTCTATGTATGTTTATCAATTCACTTGTTCGTGTGGAGCTAGGTATATCGGTCGTTCGACTCGAGTTTTGTCCAAGAGGGTGGAAGAACACTATCCTGCATGGTTACGAAGAGGTGGAAGTGGAGCAATAAGAAGCGCGATCATTGAACATCTGGTCGATAATGATCACCCTATCTCTATAGCCTCCGCCTTTGAAGTTATCTACAAGGCAAAGAGTAATTTACCTAAATCCCTACGTACCCGACTCATCTGTATTACTGAAGCTTTGGTTATCGAAACAGAAAAGCCAGATCTCTGTACACAGAAAAGTTTTGTTCAACCCCTCCAACTTTCATGGTCTTAATCCCTATATGCTAAAGTATGGTAATCCCCAATAATATTCTGGCTCTACCGATTTTTCATTTTGTCTATTCAATTTGTATACTCTTCCTTATTACATCAATTGTTACTATTACTACTCTCACTTTTAACTGTCCCCGGTATTATTTCACGTGTTCCACTTGTCATTCTAAATCAATTCTTTTTTAAAACGTTAAATTCTACGCTATCAAATTTCATACAATATTACGTAACGTTTTTATTTTATTCGATTTGTCTACTAATCTTATAATTGCACACCCTTTTCTCAAGTTCTATCCATCCTATGAATTATTCTATATATGACATTAATTTGTTTTGCCACTTGAGTTAACTATGATTATAATCACAAACATTTTAGTTTTAATTGCATTTCATACTATTATTATTATTTTATGCATTCACACCTATGATTCAATTCCCTCACCGGATATAACATCTTAAAAACCATATATATACGATTGTACAGCTTGATGATAAATTCGTTGAAAAGAGTCTCTTCGCTGAATCACTTGTTTTGATTTTCTACATTGTATTCAGTATTGAACTGTGGGAATATGCGAGCATGACATTCCGTTCGCACACCACATTAGTAATTACTTTTGCTATATGTCATTATTGATCCGGTGTGTTGTCTTTATTTTAGTTGATCACTCTTCTTCTTCTTTCTCAGTAAGCTGAGTTAATTTCAGTGTGAAATGCCAAGCTTCTCTTATAGACTCTAAGATTATCAAAGTACTAAGGTGGTAATATCTCAACTGGTTTAAATCGTGAACAGGAACGAGACTACTATTAGAAGTATGCTTTTGCAGTGTTTTCATCATAACACGATTTAAGCAAACAAATACGTATTTCCAGTATATTCCTGTCATGCTTTACAATTACATTACAAAATATCAGCCATTTGAAACACTGTGGATCAGCTGAATCGAATATAATCGAAAAGAATGTGAGTAGAATAATAATAATAACACCAATAATAACCGGGATAACTATTCTAAGTCGGGATTGAAGGCCATAAGGAAGAAGAGAGACTGAAGAAACTTTTTCTGAACACAGAGATATGGCTGAAAATCTCTTATGGCAACTGTCTCAGTTATGCTTAGTAATCAGAGGCGTACAAACTTAGGAAATTGAGGTGACACCTTGTATAGAATTTTAAAAGCGTAATTCTTATTAGTCTTGTGATCCATTTCAACAAGATGTGCCAATATAGAAATCCTGACTGACTTTACGACTCCTCTATCTAACAATACACAAGAAGGCGATGGTGGGTTTGCCAAGTCGTTCTACCTATGCAACTGTCTCCATAAGAAAAGTTAAATTTATAAATGTATGTTGAGGTAGCCAGACCCAGTAGCTTATCCCTAACCTGCATTAGAATTGTAAGACAAGTGGTGAACTTTAGAATATAGTGTTACTGTTGAAGAAATGTTTTAGCTATTATCTTTCGGAGTTTCAATGCCAGTAATTCAGTGGCTGTGTCTCTTTTGAACGGGAAAGTCATATGTGTATACATTTTTTTCTGCACACTTTGCAAGACTTTCTCTATATCTGTTCTCATCATGGAAACTTTAGCAAATTTTTCTGGATATCCATCAAGAGTGTCGGTTGTGCAGATTTTTCTAGCACGAAACATCCCGGTACTGATAAGATTTCATTTGTATACAAAAGGAACAAACGATATGAAATGAGTGCAATGGTAAACCCATGATTTTTTTTCCAGAAAATAATTCGCTTAATACCCCCCCATCTTACCTTATTGTTGTTAATGTTCACAGGAAAATTACTTGTAATAGGCATACAGAAAATTTATTTAATCTACAAATGACAATTGAACTCAATGAACCGGAACATACTTTATATGTATTAGACTAAGAGGGACACTTATCATGTGAGACCTGATAATACTACCCACCTGCTGGAGCTGAAATAGGTAAAGTGGGGCTCGAACCTGTGATTTATCGACCGCCCTACCCCGTCCACTTTTACAAAAGTTTACTTATTCTTAAACCAGTTAATTTAACGGCCTTCCAATGGACAGGGGGAGCGAGAGTGGGAGGGAAATGATTAAAAATTAACGGATAACAATATAAAGGGTTGGAAAGGAAAGCCATTACAATAAACTGTTAGGTATTCACTTACTTCAGGTATGCTTTTCGTATTAATGCTTCCCATCAGCTATAAAACGGAGAAAAAGAAGAGAAAACATACAAACAAAATGAAATATGCATTACCATTATCAAATAAAATAAACTCACATCATAAATGAAATGTATGCGCTATCTTTTTTTCATTAGATACGAGTCAGTAACTAGTGTAATGTGTCTAGTCCTATCTTTGGTGAGGACAGAATTCTATCAGTCTGTATACTTTTCAAAAAAAACTTAACTACTAATGAAATATGTGTAAGTGAAAGTAATTATTTTCACAAATAACATGTATGAAATACTATTGTGGCGAGTGCTACTGATAAGATTTATCAGTAGTATATAAAGAGACGTTCATCGGCATAAAAATATCATATAGCAAGGAGACACAAGTTGATTTCAGAGAAGGTAAATGATACGGCGTTGTGGAGGTACATGGGAGACGTGAAAGGAACATAAAGAAGCACAACATGAAGTCCAGAAGTACCACAACACGAAGATCTGTGCAAATGGTGCGATGAAGATTAGGTATATATAATTTGGCTATACCAAGTCTTCGTCTCGCAGGATACGAGCCTGGTTAGTGCAGTAATTAACACCAAAGGAAGGGCAGTGATAACGAAGTACGGACTGATAGCATGTAAGAGACAGGCGAGATAGCAGGTGTAAAGGCGTCGAAAGCACAGAGTATGACTGTGTTAGTTAAAGAATACTATCATCTGTTCACTGGAGATGGGGACGCCTACGGTTATTGTGATAAGGTGAGGCGTGAAGTCCCACTTAGCAGTCACAAAATGGCGCCAGTCACAACACAACGAGTCCCATGTCATCTAGAAGGCGAAGTCGAGCGACAAGTGAAGATGTTACAGGACGATATTATTGAAGAAGCTGACAGCCCATATAACTCCCCAGTTCTTCTAGTGAAGAAAGCAAACGGGAAGTACAGATTCTGCGTCGATTTCCGACAGCTAAACAGCATGACAGAGCTGAGACCGTGTGCCATACCAACTGTACTAGAGACATTGGATCGTCTACAAAGCGCGAAGTTGTTTACAGCGCTCGACCTCCGGTCAGGATATTGGCAGATACCGATAAAACAGAGTGACAGAGATAAGACGGCGTTCATCGTGGGACAGAAACAGTATCGGTTTAAACGCATGCCATTTGGACTAGCAGGTGCACCGTTTACCTTCAGACGACTGACTGATGACGAAGTTAACTAAAAACTTGAAAAATGTAGAAGTGTACGGTGATGATCATCTCGTCATCTACAGTCAAAACGAAAGCGACCGTGTGAACCATGTCGAAGCTGTGTTAAAACGCATTAAAGAGTTTGTACCTCACATTAACAAAACCAAATCAAATGTTTTTATACTACTGATAAATCTTATCAGTAGCACTCGTCACACTATTACGTGTTGAGAGAAAGAATAGTAGTACGGAGAAAAAAATAAAGTTTTAGTGGATATGCGAGATGATACAGAGTGAATGCGCATTTATCTGCGCGCTATTGAGAATGATTGTAGTGATATGGCTCAAGATCGTTGTCAATGACCTAGATAGAGATGCATTCACTCTTTGTAATTTTCTACATCGCGTCGGTGGTAGAGAGGTAGAGGCGGGCCAACCACGCAGGTGGTTCGGGATTCGATCTCCTCCACCCGACGCACTGCTTTACCTTGCTAAGGGAATAATAAGACTGATAAAGAGGGAAGATTGTGCATGAGGTTAGCCACCTCATCCCATAAAAATAAATACCACTGCTACAGAAACTTCAAAGCTCTAGCTTGAAACCCTTTATTCCACCAGGAACGTAAAGGAATAAAAAAAATTCGAGATCCATTAAACCGTCATATTCTTTTTCCACATTATTATTCTTTATCCCTCAAATTTTTCTTTACGTTAATCCTTTTGGATCTTTTTCTCTCCCTGTCTCTCTTTGTCTGACTTTGTGCGCTATATATGGATTGTGGTAACTTGAACTGTTGCACCTTTACTGTGCACCCTTCTATGTTGAAACTCAATCAATCAAGAATTTATAAGTAGTATGTTGGGGATGGTTTATCGCAAGAATTTCCCCTGGAATAGCAAAGCAATGGATCAAGTTGCAAAAGACAGAATGAAATGCAAACCGAAAGAAGTAGAATATGAATAATTTTATCATAAATTGAAGGGTCATCAGTGTATGTCATTTTGCCAAATAACAAAATAAGTCTGTAAACAAATACTACAGTTTTCTCTCTGTTGTCAGCATACTAAATATAGCGAATACAAATGTGAATTACTTAAAAAAAATAAATATATAGAGATACACTATTATTGATTTTATAGCCTAGTCATCAACCTATTAAACTTATTATGCAATGATCATCTTTGACACTGTCAGTTAGGTAATGTAGTGAAGAATTAAGAAAACTTTACAAGTGACAGTCGAAATTCAAGTAAAACAACAACACTACGATCAATAATTATTGTCACAACTGGCATTTCAGTTGTTAATATTATGGCTTGTAAATCACAGCATAGAACAAAATCAATAGTTAATGACAGAAATGATCGTGTAAATGTATATTTAAAAAAAGTAGGACTGCTTATCTTGAAAAGAAATAAATACAAATAAATATGATGTATAAATGACGATTGTATAAACCAGCTGTTGGATATATAAAGAGATCATTTATATTTTTATCAAGTCAAAACATCATTATACACTTCTTTTTTTCTTTCGAAAAACAAATTAAATTTGTCGAAAATGACAAATTTACTATTTATTTATTTTTGATTATAGCTTGATTTCACACCGTATTTTTGGTACTGGGAACGCAAACGGAATAAAAAAGTAGGGGTGCAGTAGTTGAAGTTGCCACCCTCCATAGGTAAATAATAATAACTTTATTTTGTACAGCGTTTATATATTGTACAAAATTTTCAGCATAGTTTATTGCATGATACTTTCTCTTCATCCAGGACCTTCAAAAAGAAAGAGTCAAGGGGCGGCAGACCAAGTGAAACACTTCTACCTGACATGAAGTGCATACCAAGAAATTATGATGTCTCTCCTTTGTCTTCTTCGGTAAATGCGTGTTAATTTGGTTGACTGGTAATTAGAAAAGTTTCAGGAAACCACTGTGTGAACCAAGGACACAACCCAAGAACACCTATCTCTTGCATTGCAATACGCCCTAACCCACGATTACGTTTTTTCTCTCACGATAACTAGAAACTTGCCAATTAGCAAGTTGTAAGCACATTAAATACTCGCAAGAGTATAAAATGTAAACGAAGGTAATATTTTATCAGATTTGAACAAACTGAACAGGAGAAAATATCTGTGAAACATCGATGGGATTTTTCGGTAGCCCAAATTTTTAAGCAGACCGCCAAACAATTACGTAAAGAGAGAATTTCAGAGAAGAAAGAAAGCAAGAAGCGATTCAAAAGAGCAGGAGAAAGATGTGATACCAGAACTACTACTAATCAATTGTGATTGAATGTGTTAAGCGAGAAGTTAAACACTGAATTGTTATAAGAAAAAAGAAAAGAATAACTACATGTTCTTAAGGCACGTGAAGGAAAAAGAAAATTGGTACTTTCTACTGTACTCACCTTGAATTATTCAACCGTCAAAAAATGTATCGAAATGTCCATCAAGAGGAAAAATAGCTTCTCATTAAAATGATGATGCTTAACATATTGTTTGAAAAAGAAAATAATTATGACATTCATGTTATATGCAGAGCAAAATTCAATGTGTTTCTTCAAGTTCACATGATCATATATACTTCTTCTTCTGCTTATTATTATGTGTATGTCATTAAAAACAAGACTACTTTTAAGTGTTTAAAGGAAGCTAACAATGTAAAGAGAAAAGAGAAAATCACTAAATTGCTAAACACTTATCAAGCCAATACACAGATCACAATCGACTGACTGGTATTCATTTAATGGATTAAACAAACAAATTAAGTGTCAGTTAGTAATTTATTATATCTTCTGCAGTTTGAAGAGCCAGCCACAAGCATGATGTGGGGCATGTTGCATGTCACTATGCTTACACCTTTTGCTTTCATTGGTTTCATAGGCTAACTGACTTCTCAAAGCATTTCATTCCGTTCTCCTCCGATTCCAGAGGAGAATAAGTTTATTTTTTCAGGCCCTTTGAAATTTCTGTTGGCGGTGGGGTTATTTTTTTTCTGAACAGGATAGGGTCGTTAACCCCGCGCTCAACCGTTCCCCTTATATCGGGATTAAGACTGGTTAGTAAGCTAGGCGAGGTGAAGCGGGAATGAAAGCTTGTGGAGCCAGGTAGGAAGGACGGTAGAAAGCAGAACACAATAGAGATTTCTTGCATAAGCCCTATATTCCACTAGGTAGGTGGTTGGAGGCAGTCAGCAGGAAACTTTGGACCTAGGTGTTGTACTTTTTGACACTCACTAGACAGCAAAACATAAATGCAATCTTGAAGGAAATCATGCTCCTCCTGAGATTCGAACCCGCACCATCCAGTGCTGCAGTCAGATGTGTCGCGAGCCCAAACAGTTCAGCGGTAAAGTCTCTGACTGCAGCACAGAGTGACGTGCGCTCGAACCTCAGGAGGGACATGGGTCCCTTCACGACTGCAGATACACCTTGTTGACTGGTGAGTGCCAACAAGAAAGGAAACAGGTTCTTTCCGAACCATCTAAAAACAATTCAGAGTGCACCATGATGGCGAGCCTCCTAGCAAGGTGGCCTCACTGCAAACTTAACTGACAGAATTAAGTCGGCACCAAACAAAGGAGTAAACACATGATACCAGTTACTAACTGACTGACTGGTTTCAACGTAGAACTTGGCAAAGATGTGCAGCAGTCAGAGTTACTATACCACATGTAGCACACAAAACAAGAGAAGAGAGTAAAGAGAGATTAAAAAGAGACATAATAAACAGAAATATGAGGCAAAAACAATAGTAAATGGAAGAACAATATAATTTTATTGGGTATTATAAATCACAAAGAGTGAATGCATCTGCGCCAGCCATTGAGAACG